GGACGACTTCACCCATCAGGAAGTTGAGACCTTTAGGCTGGGTTCATAAAGATGTAATCACTATCAATCACTGGGCACAGAGAGACGGTTTGCACATCAATTTCACGTTTTCTCTACCAAGAGTACTTAATTAAAGGGCAGGGCTACTTTTGGTGTAGTGTTGCAGGAATTTTACAGTGAAATCATAAATTATGAATGCTGGGTTAGTGAAAGGATGTATAAAAACAGAACTGCTTTCTGTATTCTAATATTACAGCAGGCTGAACCATGCTAGGCCAAAAGCGTTTTCCTTCCATGATTTATTATCTGCTGTGGTGTTCTTGCCAAAACTAACAGTACAGAATGGGCTGGGAGACACTGTAACGCACAGGATGAAGTTCAGTTGGATGTCATGGGCTGGCTTATTTGGGGGATTCACATCAGTGGGTTAGCCCAGTTGTATTCATAATAATTCAACCTTTTTGAGTACAATCTTTTGAATTGGGTCCTGTGAGAATTAAGGACAGATGGGCATGCCCTCTTATTCCTCAGCATCTCCAAGTTTGAGTTGGAAGAATTAGGTTTCCTGTGCACTGGATGTGAGCCCCGGGACTTGAACACCCAAGCTCATACCTGGACAAGAGCTAGCTTCCACTTAACAAATTGTTTCTTAGCAACCTTTAAACACACACACACACACACACACACACACACACACACACACACGATTGTCTATATGGAAACATAAGCCATTTGGTAGCTTTACTTCATAAAAAGTTCTGAAATTTGTGCCAAATAATGTCAGAGTTATCAAGGCAAATCTGTTAAGTGCCGAAAGACATGCATCCCTGTGGACCTCTCAGTAGGCCCTAAACCAACCCATCGAAATACACCCACACCACGGCCTCCATGCATCTGACAGCAAGCGCCACACATTTCTCTACTTTATTAGGCAGCCACTCTGGAGACCACAGTGTTCTTCAGAAAGGCACTAATATTTTTACTAAGGGAGCAAAAGTGTGATCTAACCAGTCATGGAGAAGAACAAAAGAATATATGGGGATCGTAAAAAACAAGCCCGGTATTTTAAAGATTTAATAAAACAAAAAACACCCATCACCAGCAGCGAGCGAGCGAGCGAGCGAGCGAGCGAGCGACCGCCGCCTGCACTTTCCCTGCACAGCTAAATCACGAGCCAAAGGACTCGGAGCATGACAACTCTTTATGAAAACGGCACTTCCTAGACAGCGAGGCCAGACTGGGGAACACCTCGATGCTCAAGAAAATGGCTTGTTTCACTTGTGAGGCAACAGCTGAAATGGGGAGACCCACAAAGGTTTCGGCAGGATTGTGAACCTGAACATTTCAAGTAGTGGTTCATGACCAGGATTCCCAAAAGGCAGCGGCCTGGATCGGGGCAGTTTTTTTTCTCCTTTCTCTTCTTTTAGCAGGACTTTACCATCTATCTATCTATCTTTAAGGCTCTTGTGAGAGTTAGTGCTCTCATGAGCTCAGAACCTGATGGAAAAATTTTGTCTGATTAAGTAAAAATGAGTAAACACCCGTTCTTCTTGTATGTATTGAGTGCTAGGGGGGCTTTTACATTACAGGGCTCATAAGTGACAAAGATAATACAGATTTTAGAAGGTGACAAATTTGGAACTGTAACGACAGTGTCACATCTGGATTTGCTCCCTTGTGCTCCTCTGAGCGTTCTCCAGCAGCTCAGGGTCCAGGGATTATCAGTTGCTGCCAAGGCAGCCTTGGGGCAGATGACTGTTTCTGAAGGAGCCGACCACAGCCAGCCAGCCTAAGCTAATGTGTGAGAGCATGTCTGAGAAACAAATCCAAATAGCAGAGCCTGGATCTGAGGATGCTCTACCACTGGTGCTGAGTCTTCCTTCTGCTGCTTGGAGGCACTCGGTGCCTTTTCATGGGTAACCATGATTCTCAAGGATTCTGCAATGCAGTTTCTATTTCCTTGAGGGACAGACACTAGGATGAGAGTCTCTACTGAACGAGTAAATCTGTTTACACATAAAATACCACCAAATTGGTAAATTTAACCAATACCTCTAGAGAAAGATGGGCAAGTCAAGAGCCACCAAAGACCTTGAAGGCACGAAAGGGGAACTTAATCCTAAATAATGTCAGCTTTTCAAGGGTGCTAAGTGTTTTTCTAGTTTCCGGCCACGTTAGAGTGCTTAAAACATTAAACAGGAAACTATGGAAGTAAGACTCGGTGCTTTTTGTGGTTTTGGTGTATAAGTCTCCCAGGAATCACCCTCTACTTCATCACTGGATTTCTTATTTCTGGGATTCTGGTGAAGGCAAAGACCATGTCTTATTTCCATCCACATCCTCAGTGCTTCGGAAGACCGTGCCTAGCTCATGGCAGATACCCTTGGGGACAAGATGGAGGATACGGTCTGCAGCCAGCAGTGCTGTGGACTCAGCATGACATCATTGGGCATGACCTGGACTGAGCACATGGATGGTGTATGCACAGATCCAATGACAGTAGGTACAGAAATGTCTCTTCTGGGCTGAACTACCTAGTCACATGATGCCACAGTGGGAAGTTCCACAGCTGCTCTTGTGAAATGGGTTGTAGTGAAAGCAGAAACACTACAAATATGGGTTAAAATTTCCAGACAGACAGCGGCGGCGGTGGCATACTCATTTAATCTCAGCACTTGGGAGGCAGAGGCAGCTGGATCTCTGAGTTCGAGGCCAGCCTGGTCTATAGATCGAGCCCCAGGACAGCCAGGGCAACATAGAGAGACCTTGTCTTGAAAAGCAAAAACAAACAAAAAAATAAAACAAAACTACCATCAGGCTATGTATATAAAGCATATACAAAACATACATAAACTTTGTCTTTAGACCTGTATCTCATTTCAAAAGGTATCTCAATATATACATGCAAATGTTCAAAATCCCTAAAGAAACCCAAATCTCAAACACTTGTGGTTCCAAGTATTTAGTATATGGGATGCTCACACTGCATTAATGCTTCCGTGATATTTTCAGGTACCATGTATACTCACAAACATTCTTACCTTACAAACTCATCTAGTTCTTGTGCCAACACCATGACCTAGATTCAAGACTACTCCTTGTTCTACAAATGAAGACACTGAGACAAAAGGTCATTTGGCAGTTTGTCTAAAAGCTCACAGCTAAAGAGTGGAGGAACCTGGGCTGTCTGCGACTGTCCAAGTGGCATGTGTAGTGATCCATTTACTGAATACCATGAGAGAGGAGCAGAATTGAACCAGAAAATGGGGAAGTGCCTCGGCACTAACCAGACTCTACCCAGAATGCTTTGGATGGTTCTGGGGCCATATTGACAGAGAACACCTGCCAGTTCCCACTGGGAACTGACTTAGAGGAGAATCTTAGGTTATCTGCCAGGATAACAGCACATGGATGACCTAGAGATGAACACAGCATAGCAACATGCTCTTGGCATACCATATTCAAGAGGACTCTTGGGGAGCGGACTCATGTTGTGCTTTTTTTATCTCTCTGTTTCTCATGTAGCTCTGGCTGGCCTTGAACTTGCTATATAGCTGAAAATGACCTTGATCTCTGGATGACTGTGCCTCCATCACTCAAGTGCTGAGATTACAAGTGTGCACCACCATTCTGAACTCTATGCCATGTCTCTGAAGTGCAGAATTAGGGCAATTTTTAAGGTAGCTAAGGTTCAGATTTTGATTTAACACCCCCCTGTAATGGAAACATCTGAAAACACAAGTGAGCTGCCCTACAGAACAGTGTGAATGGACTAGTAACCACGGCCTAGCTCTCACTAGTTAAGATGCTTGAAGGGCTGGGCTACAGCTTAGATGGCAGAGCCCTGGACTGGCATGCATGAGGCCCCGAGTTTGATTCCCTGAACCATATAAACAAAGCATAGTGGCATATGCCTAT